GGTAAAGTAAATTAGGGGATCAGAAAAGGCTTTGCCAGAAGGTGACATTGGAGCAGAAACCTGAAGACTAGGAGGAGCAAACCATGCACCTTTCTAGGGGAAGAACTAACCAAGCCCAGAAAGAGCAAGGGCCAAGTCCCTGCAAAGGATCTCAAGAATACACCATGCCTGGCATCTTCAAGGAAGCCCAGGAAGAGTGGAGGTCAGAGAGGTGGAGGCCCCAGCGCACATCATGAAGGGCTGCTAAGGCCATAGTAAGGACTTTGGTTTTTACTGGAAGAAGGCAGGAAAACATCTGAGCAGCCAAGTTAGCAGGCTTAGGAACACTGCTGTGTTTGTGGACTGCTGTGTTGAAAAAAGATTGGAGGGGTCAGCAGCAGAAGCAGGCGGACTGGCTTGGAGGCTGGCACAAGCCTCACAGGAGGGCAGTGGCTTGGTCAACGTGCAGGCCACAGAGAAGGAAGGCCTGGAGGAAGCCTGCACGTGCTCCCTGTAGCACAGTGGACATGGGGGTGAGAAAGAAGTGTCAAGGGGAGAAAGGATGGGGGCCAAACAACTTGAGGAATGGAATTGCCATTTACCATGATAAAGAAGATTATAAGAAAAGTAGATTGAGGGAGAAAGATCCAGGTTTCCCAAATGTTAAGTTTAAGATGCCAGTAGGCACTGGATATTTGGGAGGTCTGAGCGAGAGGTCTGGGATGAAGAGGTTATTTGGAAATCACCAGTGTATTACAGTTTCTTATGATACTCCCCATAAGTATAATTAGAATTATTTTAATAAGAAAGCTTCGCTAGAGCTCATGTTTCACAAAGCAAGACACCCTTGTGTATAGACTATATGTAATCGTCCCATGCTGAGAAATTGCTGCTCCTTCTCCCCTTGAGGTTTGTGCGGTATGACATCTTATTTGCCCATTTCAAAGGAACTGAATGCCTCCCTTCTCTCCCTCCCTTACCATATCCCCAAGAGGCAACCATGTGGTTGCCAGCAGAGAATCGTTCAGTTGCTCTTGCAGCACATTTAAGGTAGAAAAGCCTTCACTCTGGAATAGAAATAGCTCAGAGACAACTTGGCCCAGGGCACCCCAAGAGAGTGGGGGGCATTGATATGGGAGGGCCTAGCAGATTGATTCAAAGCTTTACCCTGCCCTGGCATGCACAGATGTGTCTGCCACAACACAGAGTTCCCACTGATGATGTCAGGAACACCCACTCTGGGAGAAGGCCAGTTGATTGTCTAAACCCAGAGAAGGGCGTGGGGGGAGCCAGTGCAGAGGCTTTCCTAGGCTTTACATTACACAAATGGCAGATGCCTAATTAAAGCATTTGCAATTAGTTTGGCTTGTTCTGTGATTCCTTCCTGCAAACAAATAAGATGGAGAGACGGTATCAGTTCTTGGCAATCTAGTTCTAAAAAAAACCTTTTTGTCCCATCATCACTCTTTTGTCCTGCCCTGAAAAGAGCTGTACTACTATGTAGACAGAGTAAACTATCTGACTTACCTCCTGGTTCAAAACAGTATTTTTCCTTCCATTCATGTGGGAGTGCAATTACCTATCTACTTTGAAAGCATGAATATGCATTTTGAATTTAATACAAACTCTTAATTTGGATGCCTTATTTTTATTCAGTGAAGATAACAGTCTTCCTAAGTCTTGCTATCTTCCTGATTTAACCAACACACTAGACTTCACTAGTGCAGTGTTACCCGCCCACTCTAACGCTAAATGCAAATGCTGAATGTTTTAAATGATGGAAATGGCTAAACTTTGAAGGAATTTGAGGGGGGTGTGTTTGTATGTAAATAAAGAGTTTTACTTAGCCCCACTTTGTAATAACCACTTGACTGAAGGCACAGATTTTTTTTTTCACTGTAGGAAAAATAAACAGGTCCACTGTAAGTGGACACATGTGAGCCATGTGTACCATTCATTCATTCGACATTTACTTGAGTATTCCATACTAGTTCTTATAAAATTTTAACCTATTCAAACTTAGGTGTTTTATCCAAAAAGTACATCCTAGAGATGGCTCCTGAGATATCATTTTAGGTGTCTACTTAACATTTATGTATGTTAATTATATGCATTACTGAGAATGTGGCACATCTCTAAAGTGTGACTGCTGTAAAGCCTAGCACATGAGGGAGACTGTCACCCCACAAACCCTGTAAATAACATAAAGTAGGATGCTTCTTTAAATCCAGTTGGAAAAAGGACTCATAACACGTAGGTTTTAAATCTGATCATTCTTTTCTGCTTTAGACTAGTTCGCAAAGTTCCTCATTCAAGAATATCCTGAAACCCAAGTAATAACTGGGAGTGGGTGTTACTCAAGATTCAAATAAAAGTTACCATATAAACAAGTATGGGTAAACTAAACTCAAATAGCTAGTGCAATTATTTTTTAATAGATAGTTTAGGTTAATAGGTGGAGACACGATTCTGCCACTGTATTTAAGGTTAGGTTAATAATTAACTTTGGTGCCTGGAGTAGTTTAATCAAAGCTTACTGTAAATCATCAAACTGCTACATGCAGGCAAAACACGGTATTAAAACGTCATGCAAAATGCTTGCGATCTTGACCTCTGGTAGCCACTTGGGTAAAGTGTACAAAGGGTATTTTCATTCAGAATTTAACACAGGCATCTTTACTCTGCCAGCAAAAATCTAAATAAAGGATTAATGGGTTCAGAACCACCAATCTTCCCAGGCCATCGCAGTAGCCGACCACGCACTTCATGCCCAAGATGTGTGTGTCGATCAGGGAACCAGAGACCAACAATTAGCAGGGTTAAAGGAAGACAGGCAAACGCACCACCTTCCCATCCCAGAAAGACTTAAAAACCAGCGCTGGGGGGCATTAAATAGCTTTCCTGAAACCTGCTGAGAAAATACTGCTTAAACGGCTTCTCAGATGTGAGGCACAGAAAGTTGTGACTACAAGTGAGATAGTGTGTGCCTCTGCGTGCGTGTGTGTGTGCGCGCGCGTGCGTGTGTGTGTGTGTGTGTGTGCGCGCGCGCGCCTGCATATTAAACCTGTCAGGGATCGGGTTCAGCGGCAACTCGGTTTCCACTGGGTATAAAACAGGAGCGATCCCACCATGGCTGTGCCAGGCCACCTCACTCCCAAAGCAGTTACCTTTCTTTCAGTGACTGGACGCGGAATGGCTGGCAGTGCGGATCACTGCCATAAAGGCCAGAGGTCACCCCTGGAAGGTTTTCCAGGCTGTGAAGACAGCGCCTCCAGGCTCCCAGGCTCCTGTGCTGCCCCCGCTCCACTCACACCTGGCTCTGCCTCGCCCCTCCCTGGACAGCTGGCAGCAGAAAAATCGCGCTCAAGGTGCAGAAGGCTCGGGATGCTGCCCTTGGAGCTTCAAGCCGGCGAGTGCCCACCAATGGCTACACGAACCCTGGCGACCGCTTGCGACCAAAACGGTCACACCTGCATCCTGAGTCCTGCTTCAGCATCTCCCAACCCCCATCCCGTCCCCTTCCCAACTGGTCAAGCAAGTGCCGCCGGCCAGGAGGCGCCACTCTCCGATGGGCTGGCACCTAGTCCTGGCTACATCTCTGGGCTGTGCACATGATTCCCTTGGGCTCCAGTCTCCCACAGATGCACTGCTCCCTAGTTCTGTCGTGCCTGCTGCCCCAGCTTTCAGAGAAACTTTCCAGAAACGCCTGGTTCAGTGACCCCACGCTGTGCAGGGGGCGGAGGCGCTGGGCAGAGGGCGGCGAGGGAGCGGGAAAGACCGCTAAATCCTGTTTCTGGTTCCTTTCCCGACACCCACAAGTCCAGGACCGCTCCCTGGCTCCCCCCTGTGACTCTCGGCTCGAGCGAGAAAGGAGACCTCAGGATCTTGCTTTGCACGGTCTCCCACAGTGAGGAACTGAGAAAGACATCTCAGTTCTTGGGAGATGGGAGATGAGACATCTCCTACCCCAGCAGGGTCAGGCAGGGCGGGTGGGCACTGCTCAGCTGGCTCCCAGGCGCCCTGCGGCCCCTGTGGCACCGCTCTAGAACACAGAGAGGAGTTGGGACAGAGCCCACGTCTGAGTAGCAAACCAGGGCCACCACTAGCCAAAGCTTCCCACCCTTCCCCCTCCTGGGATGCCTCCTTTCCAAAGAGGGACCATGCAGACCTCGGAGGAGGGCGCAGCATACGCCAGCCCCATCGCCGAGAGCTTGGTGCTTGAGAGGGACGCAGCCGCGACGGACCTCTCGTCGTTCGGTTTGGAGCTGTGGCTAGGGACAGAACTCAGGGCGGGGGCGCAGCTCCACACCGAGAGGCCGCTCCTGAACACTTATCCGAGCAAACAAAGCCCGGAACCTCTGGTGCCAGCAGCCACTGGAGCCAAGATCTCACCAAGAAGCAGGGCATGCGGGTGCCCAGGGCCATTACAAGTTTCCCGCACTCCACGGAGCCCAGCCCAAACCCCGTGCTGACAACAAAAGAGTCCCTTCGCTTCCACACAGTCTCCACGGAACTCTTTTTCTCGACCCAAAATCCAAAGCTGGCACTGGACGAAAGCAGCGCTGTTCTACCCAACCCCCTCCAGCCCTCGAGGGCAGGACCCCTTTCCCTGCCTTAGTCACTGCAACTGGGAGCTTCTGAGATTCCCACCCTCTCCGGCCTGCTCCACTCTCTGCTGGCCCGAGAGTGAAGACCAGCCCTGGGTCCCGCACACACACACCCCGGGTCGGGGAGCCATCCACGCCGTCGCGGTCCGGGGCGGCGCCGGGCGTGTGCGCGACGCGGGTGGGGAAGCTCTGGACGCTGAGCCAGGCGGCCTCTGGGGCGCAGGGCGAAAGGCAGCAGGCAGGGCTCCCTGCTGCTCCCCCAGGACTCTGCAACGCTCGGGAGACAGAGACACGAGACAAAATAAAACACAAGCACCACAAAGCCGATCGCACGCGCTGGCCGCGGACCCCGAACCCTCAGGCTGGAGCCCAGCTGCCCGGGAGGTGGGGCGCACCGGGGCGCCCGGGCCGTACCTTTTCGGTGCATCGACGGGCAGAAGGCTGGCTTGGAGCGGACTGGTGCAGCGTGTATCCCATTTAGTAATCCATTATCGAGGGGATCTCTCTGGGCCGCGAGCTGCGCTCTCTCCTTCGCAAGCCTTTGTCATTCCTACATGTGTGCTTGTTGTCTCTTTGGGGGCAACAGTCGCGGCGACTACTTTCTGGGATGCAAGCGCGCTGTGTTCATCTCCAGTGATGGTCGGAGAGAGAAGAGGGGGAAAAGACGGTCCCCCAAAAAAAAGAGAGAAAAAGAAGATGAAGAAGAAGAAAACCAACAAGTAAGAGGGTAAATGTTCAAGAAACTCTTCGCCAAATCCAAATTCCACTTGGATTCCACTCCGGTGAGTCCCCTTGGTGGTGTCTGCGCCGATTAACAAGTCATTTCAGGGCGGGGGGCGGGGTGGGGGCTGGGGCAGGGGTGCGCGGCTCTGGCCCGGCTCCTCGGCCGGGAGAGCGGTGCCGCGGGTGTGGTGATGCTGGCCGCGGCCGCACGCTCTTAAGCGGGCATCTCGGGCGATCGGCACCGCGGAGGAGCGCCGCTGCTGCGTCCCGTGCGCCTGGGCAGCCGAGTGCGCTGGGAGCGGAGTTGGCTGCAGCCTCACCCCGTGCAGCTCACTACTCTGTCACCGGAGAGGCCGCCGCTCCCGGGCGGAGCCAAGTCCCGGACTGGATCGCGCAGAGCGGACTCTCCTCTTGCAACCCCGCCTACTTTGGCTGGCGTCTGCTCCGACCCAAAGAAAGCTGTAGGGTGTGTGTGAGCGCAAATGAGCGAGGCCAAGAGGGAGAACCTGCGCAATGTGGCTGCAGGTGGAGTCTTGGACCTACTGGCCAGCACCGCTTCCTGCCACCAGGATTCCCGGCCCCCTGGCGCGCTCCGCGGAGATCTGCGGGGGCGACTGGGTCTGGAGCCCAGCCCTCACCTCCCCCACCCCCATATCTGCTCCAGCTACTGGGGGTAAAAATCCCGGACAGCATTGCTGAGTCCTGCCAAATCAGAAAAATAAATTAAAATAGACGTAGCGCAAGAGCGAGTTACAAGAAAGGTTTTGTTCATCGATTTTCTTAAATGGAAAAGTTCGAAAGGATGAGGGTAAGTGAATGGCGAGGCTTTCTAATTCTGATTACTGTTATCGAGAGGTAGATTTCAGAAGTGGTGGATGCCCTACATCCCCAAATGAATTGGATAGACGCCGGCGCGGTTAAAAATATTCTTGGAAGATCGGAACACAGCTATTGGTTACGCGCATACACCCGTTCATAAAGCATGTTAAGTAGGCAAATAAACCACAGTGCAGAGAATGGTGTTATTAATATTAACCACGACGATCCATTTTTAAACTTTCGTTTTTTAAAGTCCACAGTGTGTGGACTGTTCCTAGAAATAAACTTCAGAAATAAGACGCAAACAATTCCAGTGAGAACCCAAGAGCTTCACGGAAGAGGAAAATCGCAACTACTTCCAAGGCACTATTGTTACCCTCACACGAAGAATTGCAGGCACGGCCTTCCTCCACCACTTGAACTTTCATAGCCAAGAAGTCTTGCAGTTACAGGCCTGTGCCAACTCGTCAGGCCGCGCCGCTCGCCGCTCTCCCCTCCCCCGGCCGCTGCTCGCGCCCCGCGAGCGACTGCGCGCGCCGCGGCTGCTGCTCCCCAAGTGGGCATCGCAGATGGCAAGGACTGTAGTTACAGCCTTTAAAGTAATGCCGGGCGGCTCTTCAGTTCTAGGAGAGTTACTAGTCACTGGGGCGGGAGGGGCTCAGTCCCTCGTATTAGAAGCTGTACCTGTTCCGTAATTGGGGGTAGGGCCCCTAGTAAGTCCACCTTTATTTCCACTTTTGCATATACAGACATCTGCTAAAGATGGTTCAAGAAAAATGCACAAGCGACAACACTCCCCCCCCCCTTTTTTTTCACAAATCACCTGGAAAAGGTGGGGAGAACGGTGAGAAAAAGTCAGTACCTCTGCTGTTCTCCAGAGATGCCACCAGGGGCCGCCATCTCCACCTTTCCCAGGCGAAGGCCGCGACGGCCCCGGGGGGGGGGGCGCGGCCGTCGGTGCGCGCGCAGCCCCCGCGGCCCCGGGAGCCGGTTCCGGGAGGGAGCAGCGGAACGCAGGGCGGCAAGGCGGCCGGCTGGGCTGCGCGCTCCCGCGTCTTGGGTGGGGATTGGCTCCTGGACGACCCCCTGGGATCCCACCGAGAGCTCGGCAAAGGCTCTGTCGGCCAAGACGGCCGCGCGGCCGCGCTCTTAACACCCAGATTTCGGCTGGTGACCGCAGAGTGGAAGCGAGCCTTGTCTCCTAGATCGCCAGTGAGCTCCGGCGCGGTCCCCTGGTCCGGTGTCCGGTCCTTGCGGCGCCGGGGGTTCTCGGCCCAGCACTCCACTCCACCCGGGTCGCCTAGGCGCCGCCTTTGCTCTCCGCCGCTGATTTACATGCTAATTGTGTCTGGGAAAAGTTCTTTAATTGGCAGAATTAGGCAGAGCAAACGAATTGTTTCACAGGCTGAACCAAATTAATTCCGGGTTTAGCTCCTTCCCTTGGAGAAACAAACAATTAAGTTGTCTTGTTTGCTTTATGGATATATTGGAAATGCCCCACATCAGGGTTCAGGATATTATTTAAAGGGAAATTATTTTCAGTATTAATATTTGCATGTTTAATTTGTAGTAATGCTGAGCTAAGAAGCAATAGATTAAATTTACCTAATTTAAAATTATAGACTACAAGAGGGAAAGAATTTTAATTTACTTTTGCAGGCTGAAGAAATACCACCCAGACTCTTCCTGGCAATGACTAGATCCTAAAATCTCACCATCCAATTAGGCACCGGTTGTCCTGACCACATTATGTTACATTTCCACCTGCCAGAAGAGAGACGCTCCAGGAGCTGGAAGGTAACTCGGCTAAGGTGAGACTCCTGGATCCCTCAGGGGAGCCCCTGTGGAGGAGTGGGGAAGCCAAGCCTTGAAAGCTCATGATGTCACTTACCCCCTGTGGCCTCAGACTCACTCCCAGAAGCCTGCCTTAACTGTTGGTAAAACCATACCCTCCAAAGCCTTTGAAGTGTGCATTCCTCCCTGTCCTTCAGGGAAAGAAAGCCAGTGGAAGTTAAAGAATTAGAGGAACTAGGTGGGAGGAAACTTTAGCCAGTTTTGTAGTGAATTAGAGTGATTGAGGCCCTGGCCCCTGGAGACAGTCTGAGGGATGTAACTTACTAGCTGGTGATGTTGGGTAAGTTACTTATCTCTCTGAAGACCCAGTGGACTCACCTGTAAATGGAATTCAAATACTCTACTCACTTCCCTGGGATCCTGTGTATTAAACGAGATGGTGTTTGTAAATTTTGAGTCTAGGATAAGCATTGCTCTGCAAGGGTTACTGGCATCATTGTCCTCCACATCAATTGCGGTTTTTACAGGGTTTGTAGATGGAAGCCCAGAGGAAAGAAGTGGCCCGACTTGTGTCAGTGAAGGAATCCAGCCCGGCAGCCACTAGTAACAACTGCTCTTCAATCAACGCTTATTTGACAACATCTGCTTTCCTCAAATCACCTGAGAAAAGTGTGGAGCAAGATTAAAATAAAAAAAGAAAAACTCACCTAGGATCCCTTTACAAACCTCATCTAGCTGTTTGATCAGAACCTCTGCTTTGAGAGATTTAAAGGTAGGTTTAGTGAACTTGGGAGATAAAGGGACTGCTGATGCTTACTGCCCAGTTCCCTTGTGGGTGTAAGTTCCCTGCGGACATACACAGGACAGCACGGTTTGTACATTCAGGACGTTATCATTCATGACCAAGTAATCTATCCCTAGGCCAGGCACAGTGGCTCTTGCCTATATTCCTAGCACTTTGGGAGGCTAAGGCCAGTGAGTTGCCTGAGCTCCCAGGTTCAAGACCAGCCTGAGGCAGAGAGAGACCTCATCTCTAAAAAAAACAAAAAGCCAGGTGTTGTGGCAGTTACCTCTAGTCCTACTGGGAAGGCTAAAGCAAGAGAATCATTTTAGCCCAAGAGTTTGAGGCTACTATGACGCCATGGCCCTCTACCAAGAGTGACAAAGTAAAACTCTGTCTCAAAAAAAGAAAGAAAGAAAGAAAGAATGAATGAAAGAAATCTGTCTGTATCCTCCTCAGCCCCTTCTCCCAAATTCCTTCACCTCTTTTCCTTAAATCAGTAGTTTTAAAATCCATTTGCACATTAGAATTGCCAGGGGAGCTCTTAAATGACACAGATCCCCAGGTTTCAGAGGTTCAGTGTGACCAGGCGAGGGTGAGACCTGGGCATGGGTACATTTCAAAATTCCCAGATGATTCTATTGTGCAGCCCAGAGTGAGAACCACTGTCACAGTGAATCCTGGCTGTGTTCTAGAACACTGTTTTGTCCAAGCCTCTTCCCGTGAGGGCTGTTTCTGCTCCTTCTTGCCCCCTTTATCCCAGGGTTGGGAAGAGCGGGCAGTGTCCTTTTTGCTCCTTCTGCTGCATTCGAGCCATTTCTCCCCCTCTGAAAACCCCGTGTGGGTTTGGCAGCTGTGCTCCGTGAATATGTCGGTGCTGTTACTCACATACCTCATTTTACCCCGTTCTTACCGTCCTCCTGTCCTACTTCCCGTCATTGCTTGTGGTGGTGTTAGCATCCGCCTCACCACCAAGCCGCTGGCCCTCAGTTTCCTGTCTTCATCATCTACACTGCCTTTTTCTGCTTCCCTCTGCCGCCCACTCCAGAGACTCACGCTGGGCTGTACTAGCAGAAGATGCTCCATCTTCTACGTCTCTAATTCTGACACCCCACTCTCCAGTCCAGCTTCCCGTCCCTCCAGCTTCCGAGCTCCCTCCCTGCGTTCTCTCTGACTTCTCCAAGACCTCCAGATGGTGCGTGTTACCTCTGTCTCGATCCATCCACTCCCTGCTTTCATTCCCTTCTCTACCAGCATAGCTTCATAGTATCAGGGTGGTATCTCTCTCTCTCTGTCTTTCCTCTCAAATACTTTCAATTCCTTTCCTCTCCTATCTTTTTGTCAGTACTGATTTGACTAAAAGTTAAGCCTTGTGTAGACACCAGCCTTTGCTGCTCTTGTCCTGGGCAGCTCAGTCCTGCTGGAAGCCTCAGGCAAGTTGAGTTATCCCCCCCAGGTGCTCTATCTCAGCCTCTACCTTTCTCCCTTAATCAGATGTTTCCCCCTTGGTGCCTCCTACTTCCCTGAAAAAACATAGTCTATCTATGGGAACATTTTTACTTCTGTCCCATTATGTCCTGAGTGTCTGTCCGCCAATGCGAGACCAGTTGCTCTCCACATTCCCAGTAGTTCACACGTGCTAACAAATTCGGACCTATTTTTCCAGCCCCTCTCCTGCATCTCCCATCAACATGTAAGCAATTTTCAGTCCTGCTTGTCTTAGAAACAGCTCTCCCTGAATCCTCTGCTTCTTTCAAGCCAATTCCTCTCTTCTCTTCCAAAGGCAGACATCATCAGAGATTGTTGATAGCCACCACCGACCACGTCCTCCTTTTCCATCTACCCCTTCCTCAGTCTGGCTTCTGTTTCCAGCTCTCCACTGACAAGCTTCTTGTCTTCAGTGACATCCATGACAGGAAGTCCAGCAGACACATTTCAGAGTTTTCATTTTACCTGAGTTCTCAGCAACCATGAACATGGCCACACCCTCCCTTGGGAAATGCTGTCTCCTTTCCTCCTCCCAGTTCTCTTTTCTTTTTTTAACTTT